TTCCATGGTCTCCTGTTGCTTCTGTCTCTTTGGATATACGCCTTTTTTTGGTGTGTTCTCTCCAGCTTGTGCCACTGAGTCACTGCCATTAGATGCTGTGTGTGTAAGCTGCCCCGGTAAACATGTAGGGTGCCTGCACAAGGATTTGTTTCTCTCCTGGAATAAAATCAGTATACAGAGCTACTTCTGCCACCTTAGGCTAAGGAGCAGCTCAGGGTGGTCACAGTGTTTTTCTAGACCATCTTGTAGGCTCTGTGAACTTCTTCTGTAGAGGCGAATGGCTGAGTCTGTGTTTAAAACAGGAACAGCAAATCCAGCCACAAGTTTGCTTGCCACCCCCAGTGTGAAAGAAGAAGCGCTGGAGACAGAAACCAAGGATTGCTTCCGCCACAGTTCATTACTTTTGCTGAGCTGAGCTGAGCTTCATCTTTTTTCTCCTTAGCCTTAGTTCCCCCATTTGCTTCCTTGTTTGCATATTCAGTATTCATTTTTGTTTTAACTTCGAATAAAATTAAGGATGTTTACTTCTTCGGGAAAAGAAAGATGAATCATTGGAGCGAAAGAACTGAATTATGTCAGACTGCAGAGCAACGTGTGTCCGTCTGTCTTTTGTGCTCTTTGTCCCCCTCATTCCTTCCCTTTTACCACCCTCTTCCCTGTCTGCGTCTGTTACCTTTTCTCTAAACTTCTCCTTGCACGCGTCCCAGACCTGACTCCCCTATGCCTGTGAGTGTCTCCTGTTCCTCAAATGACCCCAAACACGTATGTCTCAATTCTAAATGCCAGAAACACAGATTCTGATGAACTTGGTTAGCTAATGGATTGGCTTCCTCCGGGGCCCAAGTAGATAGAGGTAAGAATCAAAACAGAGCCTTAAATTGTGCAGATCACAAAGAACGTTCTCTGTCTAGAACTCAGGATACATAACAACAATAATATCATGGTTAGGACTCAACTCAGTTTGCACTGGCTGTCTGATGCATACGTTGCAAAATATTTGTAGTGAAAAAGGAAAAAGTTGAAGTTTTAGAAATTGAAATATTTAAATGGTACCCTGAAACACAAGGTTTTTAGGTGTTTACATGGTATGCCGAGTAAAAGTGCTATGTAATGGTATAATGAATATATTTTAACACTATGAGAGAACTACCAACAGTAACAATATTCAGTGACTACTGTTGCTAAACTTCATGTTTTCCATGTACTATCTCATAAGATTTTACAATGTCTTACATGAACAAGTACTATAATTTTCCCCCTGTAAAGATAAGGAGACTGAGGCACAGTAAATTACAAAGTGATTATAAAAGTTATAGAGCCAGTTAAGAATCAGAGTCCCAGAATTCAAATCCAAGAATTCTGTCTTCAGAGCCTGTGCTCTAAACCTAAGTGCCCCTGGACCTTTCTCAGAAACTTGGTTAGACTTTAACAGGGTAATCTGAATGCAAAATGGACTGTGATTGATGAGTTTTTTCTTTCTGCAAGTGTACAGTCTGGAACACCAATGGCCAAGACCATTGTAGAGGAAACCAGGATCTGCATTGGCAGCCCCTGGATGACAGGACATGGACCCACTGCCCACAATTACCTGGAGACCTAATTAAAAGCTCTAAATTCTAAAGACCAGGCCAAGAAGTTCTCAGTAGGCCTTGGGTAGGACCCAAGAATCCATGTTTTTAATGAGTTCTCCAGATAATCATGATTTTCAACCTGGTTTGGAAACTCAGACTTGGTGAACTTTTATTCCCAATATTATCTTCCAGGACAAGATGATAAATGAAGACTTTAGGGGTTGACAGTTTGAAGAATGTCTTTCTGTAGGTACCTGTAAGGTCTTTGGAGATCATTAGCATTGTTTTTGTCTTAGAAAATAAAATAAGTACTAGTAAACATAGATCATTTTAAATATTAGTGATATTTCATGGCTGTTGAGCTAATACAGGGTAATCAAATGTAAACTATCTAGTGTGTACTATTTATGACATGTAGCAGTCAAAACATAGTCTCTGGTGAAAGGACTCCTGGGTCAAAGGGGTGGCCTGCTGAGCACCGCAGAGCAGCACGTGCTTCAGCCACTGAATAATGCACAGGGTGAGTGCCCAGGGGTCAGGGAGAAGCTTTCTGTACCCCGGTGTGTGGAGAAAGGTAGGCTTTGAAAGGAGGCTCAGGAAGTACCTTGAGAGGAGAGTCCAGGCGCAGTCCCTGCCAGTCCTCTCTGGGAGGACGTGCTTGCCCGGGACCCCTCTCCTGGGGGCCGTTGGCTCCTCAGTGCTCCCCAGTCCCAGAACAAGGAGGATGAGCCTGTTTCTTCTCCTTCCAGCACCTTCTACTAGCTGACTTGATCCTGAGCGTCATGGCTATGCCCACCATGGGCCACTGCTCTTCAGGGCCATTCAGTTCTTCAGCTTTTTCTTCTAAACAGGCGTCTTCCTTACTCACTACAGTTTTCACATTCCATCTCTGATTTTGCCCTTAGCCTAACCTGTTCCCCTTCAGAATCAGGCATCAAATCCAGCATGCTCTAGAGGGCCACCTAAGAGCAGTTAATGAGACCCACTTGTCACTGCTTCAACTTGTATGTCTTTGCTTGAATGCCCCCCGACTTGTGAGCCCTGCGTTTGCCCTGTGCCCTGGCTCTCTCTCTCTCTCTCTCTGGAGCATGTGTACATGATTCCTGTGTATCCTTCAGGTCCTGCTGCACAGCTTTCCCAGGGACCCTTTCTGGAATAAGGTTCAGTCCATGCCTCATTGATCTGTAGCATCCTGTGTTTTCCCTTGGCAGCTCTGTGCGTATTTTATGTTAGTTTCTGAGTCCCTGACCGGACTGAGCCCTGTGAAGACGGTTGATGTCAGGGGAACAGTGGGTTGGCACCTAGTAGGTACTGCTGAGGAGATCTAGTACATCTAGTCTAAAGTTCAGTGGTGGGAAGAGGCAGGGAGGTGGGGGATGGCAGCGTAGGAGTGAAGTGTATTAGAATAAACCACAATGGTGGAGAGTTTTATGTTTGTTTGTTTTTGGCATTTTACCTCGAAGAGAGCAGGCCTCCATCCCAGAGCCCTGAACAAGTTACCTGGGAGTTAATAGCTCTGTTTTGCTCCCATTGTACTTACGTTTACTGTTATTTTTATCCACAACGTGATGCAGAGTTTTGTTTCTCTTTAAATAGATGAGAATAAAATAATGAGTTGATTTAAAGGAAAAGCATAATGGTAATAGTGTGTCCCAGCTATAGTAGAAAAAGAAATACATGACAGCAACATGAGTGAAATTTGGAAACTACTATATGATTGAAGCCATAGAAAGTCCTTGTTGAAGTGCTGGGGAAGCCTGGGGTACTTTTCCTGCACACTGGCGTAACCCGCTAATCCTGAGAAACAATGATCAAGAATAAAGAACAAAATTAAGTGTAGTCTTATAGTGAAACAGAATTTGGAACCTTTTGTGTTGCACCCCTAGCAGAGAGACTGGTGTTTGACTTTCAGTCAATAAATGTTATTTCTTACGTTTTTGCTATTACCACTTCCTACAAGAGAAATCAGATTCTAATGTGGATTTCCCAATTAACTTTAGCATGATCTTAAAGAGGAAGTCGAGGTGAAGTTTATAGATCAGAGTAAATCATTTACTGTTTTCTAATGTCCAAGTTTTTGTTTCCTTCAGTATCATTTTAGTCAAATTTTAAAGCAAAATGGAAATAAACATGTGTCCCATCTGTCATGTAAAGCCAAAGTCTAAAATTTTTTGTTTTGCTGTAGTCTATTCTTAAACTTTAAAGATTTAGAAGACTACTTGTTGTCATTATTCAACCATCCTTTCAAACGCTAATGAAAATTAAATGACATTTGCAACTTCTTGTAATTCAGGCTTTGAGGCATTTAATGGCAAAATACAATGATCCATTGCTTTTTATGTTCTGTGATCAAACAGCCTTCATATGAGTATAAAACAGTAAATGTCATTTCCAAAACTAATTATCTTGGGCCTTTGCATGACATAAACCTAGGAATTTCAACCCCTATTCTATAGAAATATAAACTGAATTTTTTTTTTGAGAGTCAGTGATTTAAAAGGGGAACGAAATAAACAAGAAGATAATCATAAACTCTTAAGCTCTTTACACTGGACTTTTATTTTGCCTTTTTATGATACTTTGCTCTTTTAAGATTGTCTAATCTTTCCTTTTATTTTTGCATTTCTACCAAATGTACACTTAAGATGTCAGCTTTTCTCTTAGGTAGTTTTACTAGACTTGGAGCTAGATATTTGATACTCTTACAAAAACTGTTATGTATTGTATTTTGGCTCTTAATGTTGAAGAAACCATTATAGGAAATTTTAACACTTTTTTCCGAAAAGAAGGCTCTACAGCTCCAGAAGCCAGTATCCCTACTTGCATATATTCTTTTAAAGCAATTTTCTTTCTGATATTAAGACTAAAATCACTATGTTAAATATCCTTGCATTATTTATATTTAACATATGTATACACTTGAATTATAGAAATTTTGAGTTCCATAATTATGATTATGATCCATCAGTTGATTTACATTTTTGATAGAACAACAGATGGTAATGTTGCAGGTTGAAATAAAAGATCATTAAGCTAAATATTTTAGCCTTCATTGGCTCCCCGAAGCACAGAGTTTGTCAGAGTGAAATAAGATGATAGTATTTCAGAACTAGAACAGTCCTTAGAGATTTTCTCATCGAGTTCCTCATTTGGCAGGTGAGGAAGCAGAAGCCTAGAGAGAGTGCTGCCTGCCAAGGCCGTACAGCTAGTTAGCAGCAAGTTAGGACCAGAATCTAGGTCTGCTCTTCCCTAGTTCTGTGCTTTTTCTACCATCTCTGTGGGAGATTTTTAAGCGGTGTCTCTCATCACTCCCTGATGTCAGCACCAGCTATTTTAATCAATTTCTCATCTTCTCATTTCTTATACATACTGAATTTCACCCCTCTGTGGGTCTCAGCTGATTAAGTGTTATATTTGGCTTTCTTTTAGGTTGGTCTCCACTCATCTTTTTAATCGTGAAGACTTCAGAATACACTTGGATCTGCCTACCACTCTTTTAGAAAACTTCACCAGGCAGTAAATCCCCCGCTGTGCTCTTGTCATAGCAACGTGGCTTTGCAGTTTTCCAAGGCTAAACAAGATTTTCTCCTCATTATCCCATGAAGCCATATTGTTGCCTCTTCACTGTGGTGGTGATTGTTACTGTGCCGGCTGCTTTTGTTTTGGAAGATGCGGACTTCACACAGGTTCCCCCACCGGGGGCGGATCAGGGTTCTTCCAGGCCGTTCGCAGGCTCCCACTCAGGCAGTGATGTCGTCATAGCCAAGGAAGGGGCTAGCGTTTCACTCGAATGTCTTCTCACAGTTGCTCACTATGAAGATGTCCATTGGAACAACTCCAAGGGACAGTACCTGGATGGCAAAGGTAATTGCGTCAGGGTAAAATTACTCAAGACTACTCATTTCCTATTCTTTCTTTTTGGTTTCCTATTTAACACAAAATCGCCCAGATTTACATGTCTTAAAACTTTGGAAAGGCTTGGAGTGTTTTATTCTTATCAAAAAGAACAAAGTAATTATAATTATATAACCAGAAGAAAAACCAAAAAATATAAATTTAGTAAGTGTTTTCATGGTGATGGCGAGCATCCTGTTGATGAGTTGGTTTCCTCACTGAGCATAACAGGCCAGATACAGCTGTGCAGACAGTGCACTGTACAATTCCAAGGAACCTACAGTGCAGTGGCCCTGTAAAAGGGCCTAGAAGTTTTGGCTGGACTGAAGAGAACAAAAAAATTTTTGCTTTTAAATGAATTTGTGTGAATGATAGAGGAAGTCCAGAATGTGTTTTAAAATGAGTCAGGTGGTCCTTTGGTATCCAGGGGGATTTGTTCTAGGACTGTCTACAAATAGTCGATAGTCTCTTAAATAAAATGGTAAAACATCTGCATCGAACTGACTGATAGCCTCCCGTATATTACAGTCAGTCGACTCTAGTTTAGGAGCATACCTGAGAGTGTATGTAAATAGTTGTTTACTGTAAATGACCAGGGGGAAAGTGTACACATTCAGTAAAGATACAAATATTTTCCCCAAATATTTTCATTTTGAAGCTCGTTGAATCAGAGGATGTAGAATCCTGGGATACCAAAGGCCTGTTATATAAATTTGTATAAAACTCAAGTCTTTTGAGCAGCTCTTTCTTTTTCTATTCTGTACCTTAATTTACTTGAAAGCAGGGAAGATTCTCTTGTACTTTTTGTTTCTCAGTCTTTACAAAGAATCATGTAAACATAATGATAATGTAATCGAAGACTCCTTTTTGACAAGTTTTTACATAGTTTTGCTATCAATTGGCCTGTTAACACACATCTTAATCCAGACTACTAACTCCTTAAGCCAGTATTCCATTAGAAGGATTTTTTTTTCAGTTAGCAAGGATTTTTAAAAACAAATCACCATGAAAAGCCAGGCAATTAAATTCTGAGATCCCCACAAACTAAACTTTGAGAAAAGGACACCTTGTCCTTTTTTCCTAAAGATAGTCTAACCTGAAATCAGAGGATATTGGTTATCGTATTAAGGTGGAAAATAGAATGAAGGTAGGTAGTATTTCTTGCAGAAATGTGTGTATACAGTACAGGCTTCTTCTGAAGCTCAGTGGTGAATCAGTTTTTTAATGTGCGTGAGGCCTTAGATTCAAGTTCCAGGACTGTAAACAAATAAGAAAGTTTGTAAATACACTAAATAGTTTAACCTTCTACAGACTAAATAACTGTTTAGGCACTTAAACAGATGGTTAGAAAAGCAGTATTTTAAATGTTTATTAAAAATACAGATCTGATAAATCATGATATTTAGAGCAGTGCTGAGAATGTATTTTGAACATGATTTAGAGTTCTGTATTTGGACCCACTGAACTAGACTTCAGTCTCCTCGAGGCTGTAGGAGATAGTAAACAAACACATCTGAGACTTGAATTATTCAGTGTGATTTTTGTAGACTGACTGCATAAACAAAGCCTTAGGTTAGGACAGAACCAGCCAAGGGGAATGGCAGTTTCATTTTCCCATTTTCCCTTTACTTTGGAAACCACTAACATCTATCATTGATGCTTTCAGCAGCACCTCTGGAAAATTGTATTAAATTTTATGAATCTCAAGTGAGAGGAGTTTAAAGAGTATGTCAGTCTAGTGTAAGGTCCATAAATCTTGAGCTATTACCAGCAAGTGAGCCCCAGAGTTTAGACTGTGGTCGTAGTACAGCAGTTGATTAATGGAGTCCATGCAGTTCGTCATGCCTTGGACTCAAAGGACATCCCTTGCATAGCTTCAAGTTCATAGAACAGAAACCTAGGGAATGATGGCTGTGTTCCTAGCTACATAGTTTCTTCCTTCTTCACCTTGGAGAAGTGATGACTCCTAAAAATACAGCTGGAGAATTTAGATCAGTTTGCATGATGATAAAAATAGGCAGCATGCTTACCAGTTTGTATGACACCAAAAGAATCCAGAACCGTGGAATCTTGGGATGAAGAGTATTGAAAGACTAGGCTCTCAGGTGATACCTAACAAGTATTCACACAGCCTCCTCTGGGACACCACTTCTTATCACTGAGACACATAGCCACAACCCAAGGTAGCCCATCCATTCCATTCTTGAGCGGCATTCATAATTAATGCACAGAATATTCTGGAAATTTCCCATGAAGGTAAGAAATACACAGCGGAGCCATGTTACTGAAGCATGTTGAAGCAACGTGGGTATTCAGTATGCATTGCTTTCTCATAGTCGTTTGGTCCCTGAATAAAGGTAGTTTCATGTGTGGAGGATAGGCAGAATGTTTAATGTTTAAAATAGAGGAGTAGGCATTTTATAGTAATTTGATTCTCTTGGCTATGTACCCTTTCTTATGAGACACATACGTTGGCAGAAAATCAAGATATCATCAGTACCTTTCCTAACAAATTTATGCAAAGCGTGCCAGATTAGCTCATTAATAACGGAACAAATGCATCAAGTTGCTAGATTTTTTTTAAAAAAATAACTTTTGTGCCTTATCATATACATTCATTATGGAAAATGAGCGAACACAGTTAAAAAGAAAATATTTGTTACCCACAAGCCACGAAATAATTCTTACATTTCTGAGGCATATCCTTCTAGTGTGTGAGAAACATAGGCAGCAATTACAATGTCAGTGCACATTGTTTGATGAAAAATTATAGTGATTGTTTTAAAATTTATTGCGCTAAAAGACATTGCTATTAATCCCCAGCAAAGTAGTCCCCTCACTTCAAACACACCTGTCCCATTATTCCTGCCACTTTCTGAAGCAGTTCTTGAAGTCCTTTTTTGCTGAGTATCTTTAATTGTGCTTCCATGACACCCTTGGTGTCCTGAATTGGTTCATAACTTTTACTTTTCATGGTCATTTTGACTTTTAGCAAGAGCCAGAGTCTCCTGGTACCAGATCTGATGAGAAGGTGGGTGAGGATACACCGTAATGCTTTTATTTGACAGAAATTGCCATAAGTATAAACTGTGTACTGCTCCAGAAAGTGCTAAGAATGATGGTATAAGCTGAAAGAAGTTCAAAGGGAATTGATGGCCATGTGACTTTTATTGTAATAAACTTATTTAATTTAAACATTCACCATATTTTTGAGCATACCAGTAATATAAACATTTACTTAATTAGTCACTTGATATCTTTTAGACATACTCCTGTCTCCCCAAAAGACATTTTTATTTCTAGCAGTATGAAGAAACTGATGGCAGTTATTAGTGTCAAAAGAAGATCCTGATTTCTTTTTTTAAGTTCTAAGCTAATTATATTCAGACTATGGACAGAACAGTGTGCTATTTTTCACATAATTCAAAACAAACAGTAGAATCTAACTAGTGAGTTAAAAATGCTTTCGTGAAGAGGTAGAATATGGATAAGGTGGTTGGCATATTTAGTAATAATATTCCTTATGCTATAATTCTTTTCATGTCTGTTGGATTATCAGGTGGAAAATGGTTGGTTTCTGATAACTTCCTGAATATCACCAACGTAGCCTTTGATGACCGTGGGCTCTATACATGTTTTGTCATGTCTCCGGTTAATGCCTCGTACTCTGTCACCCTACGTGTTATTTTCACCTCAGGAGACATGAGTGTCTACTATATGATTGTTTGCCTGATTGCCTTTACAATCACTCTCATCTTGAATGTCACCCGGCTGTGCATGATGAGCAGCCATCTTCGGAAGACAGAGAAGGCTATCAATGAATTCTTCAGAACTGAAGGAGCTGAGAAACTCCAGAAGGCCTTTGAGATTGCAAAACGCATCCCCATCATCACCTCAGCCAAGACTCTGGAGCTGGCTAAAGTCACTCAGTTTAAGACCATGGAGTTTGCTCGTTACATTGAAGAACTGGCAAGAAGCGTCCCTCTTCCACCTCTTATTCTAAACTGTCGGGCCTTCGTTGAGGAGATGTTTGAGGCTGTGCGAGTGAATGACCCTGATGACATGGGGGAAAGAATTAAAGAAAGACCAGCCTTGGATGCTCGAGGTGGCATCTATGTCATCAACCCAGAGATGGGGCGGAGTAATTCACCAGGAGGAGACTCAGATGATGGTTCTCTGAATGAACAAGGCCAAGAGATAGCAGTTCAGGTTTCCGTCCACCTTCAGTCAGAAACCAAAAGTATTGATACAGATTCTCAAGACAGCAGTCATTTCAGTCCACCTGATGATACAGGATCTGTGAAATCCAGCTCTAACTACAAAGATGGAGCAGGTGAAAACTTCCAGCTCTGAGCTATCCCAGCCCCTGCAAAAACAGCTCTCAGGAAAGGGACGTGTTTCATGGAGGAGATACCATTTTTACCAAAAGATGATGAGATTTCTCTTTGATGTTAACACATCAGAACATAAGTTGCCAAATTCTTTGTGAAAACACAGCAGTTTCCCCATTAGTTGTCAGCCCTTTTCCTTAAAATTGCTTAAATGATGCATGTTAAGATATAAAGGAGCCTCAGAGATAAACATGATGGGGCAAATATTGAACTAAGAGTTCTGTGGCTTCTCTTCTGGTCACAGTTCTTCCATTGATCAGATGTGATGCTTATTTTGAAGCCTTATTTTTCCCATCAGTAAGATAAAGAGATTTGCATTTGATGAAATTCTGTTACCTTTACAGATGAAAATCTGTAGCCCATCTCTAGCTAAACCTTGCCATAAACATTTAGTCTCTTCTTTTTGGAAAAGACCACCTGAGGCTTCATTCTGTGGTCTGGATTCCTACACCAGTGCCGTAGCACACAGGAGTATAGATGTCCTTCCATGTGGAATGTACAATTACATGTGCTAGATTGAATCTTTCAGTGGAGCACAGGACTGCGTTGTTACATAGATGTTAGGGAGCTGACTGCTCACTAGTAATCTGCTCTCCATGAGTGAATGGGTCTTTCTTGGGCCACGTCATTTAGTTCACTGGAGCAGGCAGTCATTTCCCAACTGACCTCCAAAAGTAAGCAGTCTGTTCCTGAAGAATAGTATCTTCAAGGCTTCTAGAATAAGAACAGTGTCAAATTGTCTGTCTCTGGTAGATTATGGATGCTGATATTTCTGTGAAGAATTTCTCAGGCTCTACCTTTTTAAAGTACTAGACTCTACAAGTGGGTTCTGTGTCTGAGAGCTCATTCTCTGATAAAACCGAGAACTGCACATTCCTCTTTAGACCTCGGTTAATATCCTTTCCCTCTATGATCTTAAATATGGTGCTAAAGGTTGCATGTCTCCTTATCTCACTTGTTCTGTCAACATTTTATTTTTTATGTTTTTAGTTTTGAGTACTTCAGATGTATAGTTTTGAGCTAGGCCTGCTTTTGTGTCCTGACAAATAATTACCTGAAATAAGGCTTGATGATTGTGTTTGGTGCGTTTCTACATTAAAATACACTCACACAGATAATCCAGATATAAAACAGGAGGAAAATGATGGATGATTCCACCTGGTTTGACTGCGTATAATAAACACTTAGATGGCATTTCTTGCCCGGCTGAGACCTGATATAATGGAATTGTAAATATGCTTCAGAATAATTTCTTCAGCTACAGGAAGCTTGGTGCCATATAATTTTAAGAACTTGGCAGTGGAACTCCATTTGATGCTTCACATTTCTTCGTTTGGTTTCTGGTTATTGAAGCATTACTTGAACTAGCGGATCCTGAGGGAAATGTTCAGAGGAGGTTTATCAGGATTTTAATTTAAGGTTTCAAACAGAAGAAGACTGGAAATTCAAAATGACTAGTGGAACTCATGCCTTCTTTTGTTCAGGCTTATCAGAAGTAATACATCTGTTCTAGACAGTATGAAGGAATCAATATGCGGCTTTCTCAGATGGCTTTACGGATAGAGATGATAATGCTGCCTTTTCTGTCTCTCCGGCTGTTTCCATAGAAACCTCCAGGGCAAAACAAAAGCTAGCAATCATTTAGCCAAAGCTTGCCTTGGCTTAAGACATGTATTTTTTCAAGGAAAATTGTTTTCATATATTTGGCTATAAGAGCAAGGGCTCTTGAACATATCGTAGGTTATAGAATATTTTTTCTCTTCCCGTGGTGTTTCTCTTACAAAATTAAAAAATTTCAAATCCCTTATATGGGATCATTCTCCAGAATATCCCCTAGATCCTCAGATAGTACACCAGTCCTGTCCTAATATAGCAGGTTTAGAATCATTTCTTGGAATGTAGCCTGTTATGTTAAAGATAGTGGTTTTGCACCATGTGTTCTCAGAAGGGTATTAGGTAGGCACATTTAAAGATCAAAGTCCTGAGAAACAGAACTTTAGAAAAGCACAGGAAGTACTGAGAAAACATTTTATAAGCTTCTACAATATGATATAGTAAAGTATAGGCTGGCTACCTTAGTGTATCCTAGGTAAATTATTTCAGAAACATAATGGTAGCCTAACTGGTAGCCAGAGTAGCTGGTTTAATTTGAATCTTGCTGGTTATGGTACCTTGAAGTAGGGAAAAATATAATAGGGGTTACGGGTGAGGTGAGCCACGCCTACAAGCACTCGTATAATCCCAGTATGTGGGAGGCTGAGGCAAGAACATTGAGAGTTCAAGGCCAGCCTGGGCCACCTAGTGACTGTGACCCTGTAGGAGCTGGCACTACTTTGCAAAGCTAGTTTTCAAGAGAAATAAAACCACACATTGGTATTTTTTGTATCTAATAAAATACACTATCTATAATTAACAGTCTTATCTTTTTTGTAAATTCCTTAACCTTTAAAACTTCAACTACTGTCTAAAAGTCCTGACAGTTACTGTGGTATAATTATCTTTTTTGTCTCACTAAATTCTAGTTCTTTAAAAAAAGAAAAAAGCCTTCACCTAACCAAATGTACTTATCATCCTTTTGTCATCTCATTTGTAAATTTTGTACTGTCATTTAATGAACCTTATTGTCCTTATGAAATGTAGTAAAATAAATTTCCAAAAAGTGACAAACATCTTTATAGATTCCTTATCTGCTGCATCCAGATGGACAGGTGTCCGCTGAGTGGATACCCCACCTGTGTCTATAGGTGATTCGATGATCACCTGTCCTCAGAGCTGCGTCTGTTGTGATGGCTGGATTTGTGAGTCAGGCTCGGGGAGCATTTGTGCTTCCGACCCCCTACCAGGATGCAGGTATCTTCAGAGTAGCTGACCCAGAATGCTTGTGAGAAGGCTCTTGGCTGCTGCTTTGCTTTGCTTAGCATTTGTTTTGAGCACTGTCTGCATGCTGCTTTCTCTTTGCTTCCCCAGCCACACTGAACCACTTGTTCCAGTCCCCTTACACCCTGCATGTAGCTTCAACTCTCTATTAAACTTGGGTGGATCCCAGGGGGGCCAGGAGTGCTGCATGTGTCTGTCAAGCCCAGCTAGTCATAGGTGCTAGTCTTGGCTCCTCACACCAGCGACTGTAATCAAGTGTGTTGCGTCTCCCAAATCACCAGGAAGAATGCAATCTTTTCTCATCTAAGCCAGAATGTTAAAAATGCTCACCTTTATACAGAGACTTCTAGATTCTCATTAACATATTTCAGAAAAGTATGTTGAGTACTATTTGATGTGGTTCACATGATGTGTAGATGATCAGCACTTTAATAAACATTGGACTTGTGTCCCTTTTTTTTAGGAAAATGTCATACTTGAATGTAAATTGTTAAAGGTTCAATGGAGTATATTTCATTTGATGCCTGAAATATTTTACAGGGTTTATTTCATTTTTGTGTGTGATAGGGTTGGATGTTAAATGATTTTTAAATAGGAATAAATTTGAATTCAACTTGCACTTCTACCATGCTATCTACTTCAGTGTTATACATATTTATTTACTAAGTGCTTGTATGTTTTTGCTGCTCTGAGCCATACTGAGGTGATTATCCTGCCTACAACAAACCTGCACAGACAGACTATGCTCCTTGGCCCAAAGTTCAACTTCCCACTTCTGGAGTAAAGCATTCCTGGCAAAGACCAGCGCTTCAGCAAAGGCCTAGAGATAAGAGGATTCGGTACATGTTTGGGAGAGCATGTAACTAGTGTATAAAGTGTATGGTCGTTGGCGGCTGGGCAAGGGAAATGTGGTAGAAGCACTTGGAGTGTGCAGCTCGTAGGCATGGAAAGTGGTGGCTGGAAGTTAGCATAAAAAAGCATAGGGTCTTGGGAGAAAGACAAAGGGACCAGGTGGAAGGTGTGACAAGAGAAACATCATAGGGTCCTTCGAACGAAAACCCAGCCCCTGTCTTTCAGTGGCAAAATATTGTTAAACACAAAGAGTCCTGATTCCACTACTAGCCTTGTAATCATGGATCTGTAACTCAGCCCCTCCAGGCTTCTAGAAAATGAAGTTGATAAAACCTACTTCATAGAGTCCACATTAGGCATGTAAGAAAACACTGTTGGCTGTATCATGCCATGCAGTGTAGGGGCTTGTACTGCAGCCAGAGTGTCAGCTATATTAGCAACCATGTGTCCAACTGATGATTGGTTACATTTGTAGTTAACTGAGAAGTCCTACACATGCATTGCTTTGTATGTCACAGAATCATCACAATGGCTTACCCAATGTCTGTTACTTTTCTGATTGGTGAGATGAAATACCTGACACCCAGAGTTAAAGGTGGATAGGTTTATTTAGTTCAGTTTGTACACATTTCAGTCCTTGATTGACTGGCACCTTGCAGGGTGGCTTGGCAGAGAGCCATCACAGAAAACAATGCATGGCACCCTCAAGATAGCAGAAGCAACAAGGACTCCTAGCAGCATCTTTCTGCCCCTTTTATACTCCATCTAGGCTACCGGGATTAGAATGGTGCCAAACAAATATGGACAGATTTAGTCATCACACACTCAGCCCCAGCATTGCACCATGAATCTATCACATACTCTAGATCCAGCCACTTCTGACCCCAATGGAGGCAGAAAAGCCTCACCCAAGGGCATTGCGCTGAGACCCAGATGACAAAGGAGTACGAGGAGGTGCACTTGGGCAAAAGGACAAGCAGTGGCAAGGTTGGCCTGTGTGGAGGGAGACAGATTACACAAGGGCCAGATGGGCAGCTGTTTGGGGCTGATCGTGGAAGCGCATTTCTTAGAAGCTGAATGCACATAATTTGGAAATGGAGATTAACATAGTTAAAGGGGAAATTTTGACCATCCAATGGTATTCTTAGTGTTATTTTCTGAAGTCATCTGCTGCTAAAAAAAAACAGTTGCACTAATTTTCTTTAAGCAATTTAACACCTTCAGAGCTTCTTAAATCCCAGTCATCTCAAGTTTTCATGTTTTTCCTGAAACTTATTTGATAGGAAATATATATCTGTGTAAATATGCATATGTCACTCCATCTGCCTTGAGGATATGTGGTTGCTGTCATCATGCTTATTCTTCCTGATAGTTGGGAAAACTGTGCATAAGGGAGGACTCAGGTGTCCTGAATGATGACTAATCAGCCCTCCAGGGGCCCTCTAGCTCCAAGAGCCACCCTGAGCAGTTTGGTCCTAAGCAGATAGGAATTGTCTCTGGAGGAACTCCCTCTCTGGCCTAATTTTATTATGTGAATTTCATTGTTTTTTGAAAACCTGCAGACACCATCCCTAAAGCCACTCTACCCACAGCCCCCTTGATCTGAATACCTTAGGCCAGTGATGGTCAGTGATGGCTACCTGTTAGAGCTCTCAGTGATAACGAACAGCACACACTGCATACGTGCCATAGGTTGCCACCACTGCAGGCCATTTCTATTCCTGAGTCAGTTTCAAAAATGTACACAATCTAGGCACACTGCCATATGTAAAACCAGAGATAATCTCTGCTGTTTGGTTACTCACAAAGACAGATCCAATTCATACAGTCATCAAGATTGTCGTAGTCACTTTCCTTGTCACTGGGACAAAATACCTGACACCTGCAACTTAGAAGTTTATTTTGATTTAGTTTTTATTCCACAGTCAGCTGACTCCAAAGCAGGAACAGCATGACAGATGGGCATGGCTGATGAAAATCTACTCACCTCATGGTGACCAGGAAACAAAAAAAGGGAAGAGCCCAGGAGGCAGATACACCCTTTCTCGATCACATTCCTAGGGACCAGTTTTTAATCAGTCCCCAGCCCTGAACAGCAAGTCAGCAATGAACTCAGCAGTGGACCAATCTGTTGATAAGTATGGTGTCCCCAGTTATCCAATTGTCTTGCAGGGTCCAGCCTCTGAACACATGAAGCTTCTGGGGGACACCCCATATCTAAATTGTAATAAGGGTATACAGTTAAAAATACGCTAAAGGTATACGCTAAAGAAAGTGTTCTATGAGGATCTAGATCAGAGGACCCTGATCTAATTGGAGATGCAAAAAATTCTCTATAAAAGTGATACTCAAGCAACAAACACTGTTTGAGGGCTTACTGTGTTCCTTGTCCTGAACCAGGGGGTTATAGATTTAAGTCACACATTCAGCTACAATATCATTGTAGTTAGCGGAACAAGAAGGGTGAAACTGTGGTGTATGCCCACAACTGAGTCCCATTGGTCAGGGTGGGAAATAGGGATGAGGGCCTGGTAGGTAAGGCCAACCCCTTTTCTGATAGCACTCTCTGCCCAAGTGGCATCACTCACTTGCAAAGTTTTAAATACCATCTTCACAGTGATGACTTTCAAATGTGTATTTCCACCTCCAGATACTCCCAGAGAGTTGGGGATTTAATACGTCCCTACTGGGCAGCACTAGTTGACTAGACATCACTAAACAGCATCTCTAAATTAGTAATCCTAAAACAGAATTTTTGGTCCTTTCCTTGATTAAAAAAGAAGACACCAGTCTCCTCCTACCATCTTCTCTCAATATACATTTCTGCCATCTACTTACTGCAGTCAAATAGCCACAATCATTCTTGATAAAACTGCCTTACCATACCTACTAGGTCATCAAGTCCTACTGTCTCACTTCACAAGCATATATCCAGTCTCCTCACTGTTCTGTACCTCCACTGACACCACCCTAGGGCAAGCATCGTCCTCCTCATGTGTACTGTATGAGGGTCCCCACTAAGCTCTCTGCTTCTACTTTGGCCCCCAGCTGCCCATTCTCCACGCAACCACCAGAGTGGACTTTCAAGTGTAAATCGCCTCACTGCTTCTGCTCTAGCCCACATTGTTTACCCTTATTACAAGACAGTTCTTAAAGAAATCCACACTCTCTGTTGTGGCCTGTGTGAGACCCTAGATGGCCCAACTCTTTCCTTTGTGTCTGAGTGCATCTCTTCACCTCCCTGTCCACTGCACTCATGACATTCCAGCCACCCTGGCCTCCTGGCTCTTCGCTTAACACACTGAGTCTTATGCCTCCTCAAAAACTCTCCTCCTGCTCTTCCCCCATATGTGCCCTCCCTGACTGCTTTTCCACATGCAAACCTTAGGTGTGATCATTTCAGAGAAGCCTCCCTGTACACACTAAAGTAATTGTCCCAACACTGGATTAGGGTTAAGGGTAAGTAGCTCTGTATTTCATTTCTTGTATCTTAGCTTTTTAATATTTTTAAATTTTTATTAGTATATATATATGCTTGCAGTACATAATGGTAACATTCCTTACAGGGAGTCAGGACGTGCATGTAACACATCTCAATTCTTTCTCTTATGCCTGTCCCATCCCTTCCTCCCTCTTCATTTGTCTTTTATTTTCCTTACAGCATTTTTCACTGTTTGATATTATATTTTTGTTTTCTTATTGATTATCTATTGCCCTCCTCTAGAATATCCTTACCATCTTACTTGTTGTTATAATCCCAGCAATTAAAACAGATCCTGGCAGCCACCCACAATCATTAAGTATTTGTTCATCATTGATGAAGACGAGCGGGTTAATAGCGGTTGGGTGAAATCACATGGCATCTTTGTCTTAATTTACCTCCTCATCTCATGAAGATGAAGGTAATATGTACACCATTTGGTTCTTCTAGAACCAAGGAAATCTTTCAGACAAGTGGGAGACATTACCAAATAATAGAAGAAAAAATTGGACTCTGCAGGCAGGGAGCCACTTGAAAGAGGCAATGAAAGCTAATGGAGAAAGAAATAATTTGTTTTCTTACCTATACATGAGGACTGAGTAAGATAGGGAAAAATAAAATACACTCATTTGAAACATAAAAATTCATTAATACAGTTTACATTAAATCAAAACAGTAACAATTTCTCTGGCATCAATAGATATTTTGCCAAGTGACTTGTTTTTGCAAATAGTTAATGTCCCCAATTAAGAAGAGTTTTGTTTGTTTGAACATCTTAATGGAAATAGTTTTCAAATGAATCTCAGCGCCACTTCCCTGGAAGCACATTGAACACAGCCTTTCATCAGTAAGTTGGCAACATCATTATAAGCATACATAATTATATTTGCATATGAAATAGTGATAAGCTCTAAAATGATGGAAGTGTGGCACTGGTAGGCTTTTTGAGCTCTTCTGGGTGTGTGATATGGTCTCTTTTCCCATTTATTTAATCAACAAGTATCCATAGGGCATGTAGTACACACCAGGCTGGCTGCTAAAGATTATACTCAGGATGATCAACAAGATCAGTGTGGTTCCTGTCCTCCTGGAGCCCAGAATCTTTTGATACATGCCTTGACCAAGAAAGTACAAGTGTGGCAGGTTTCAAATACCTGCCCAGGGGTTTCTCGTGGAAGATGTCTCCCAAGAATTGGCCTTTATGCTGACTCTTATGAAGGAAATGACAAGGGAAAGAGTGTTGCTGGCAGATGGAAATGCAATGCAAAGGCAATGAAAAGTGACAG